ACCATGCCCTGCCGGCTCCAGAAGGGCACCCGGCTCCATCTCCAGATGTGTCCCCATCTCCCTCCCCATGCCCAGATGTTCCATCCCGATGCCTCCCATGTCCTGCCGGCTCCAGAGGAGCACCCGGCCCCATCTCCAGATGTGCCACCATCTCCCCCCCCGTTCCAGCTGTGCCCCGTGCAGGGACCCGGGGGGGATCCCCGGGGCCGTCCCCGCTCAGGCCCCGCCGTCCCCGCAGGCTACGACTTCGCGGCCGTGCTGCAGTGGTTCGCGGAGCGCGTGGACCTCATCGTCCTGCTCTTCGACGCGCACAAGCTGGAGATCTCGGACGAGTTCTCCGAGGCCATCCGGGCGCTGCGGGGCAACGAGGACAAGATCCGCGTGGTGCTCAACAAGGCCGACACGGTGGAGACGCAGCAGCTCATGCGGGTGTACGGGGCGCTCATGTGGTCGCTGACGAGTTCTCCGAGGCCATCCGGGCGCTGCGGGGCAACGAGGACAAGATCCGCGTGGTGCTCAACAAGGCCGACACGGTGGAGACGCAGCAGCTCATGCGGGTGTACGGGGCGCTCATGTGGTCGCTGGGGAAGGTGTTCGGCACCCCCGAGGTGCTGCGCGTCTTCATCGGCTCCTTCTGGGCCGAACCGCTGCTCGTGGCCGACAACCGGCGCCTCTTCGAGCTGGAGGAGCAGGATTTGTTCCGCGACATCCAGAACCTGCCCCGCAACTCGGCCCTGCGCAAGCTCAACGACCTGGTCAAGAGGGCGCGACTGGTCCGGGTGAGCGCCCGCCCGGACGCCGGGGCCCCTCCGAGCCGCTTCCCGTGTGCGGAGATCCGGGCACCATCCTGAGTGCCGCGGAGCTGGGACCGGGGCGCCCGGATCCTCTCCTTGCTGCAGACCGGGAGACCTGGGTTCCCTCCTGGTTCCGGTTCCCTCCATCCAGAGCTGGGATTGGGACACATGGGACAGAATCAGGACCCCTGGATCCCCTCCTGGCTCTGGTTCCCTCCATCCAGAACTGGGACCGGGATACTCGGGTCCCCTCCCAGCTCCCATGGGACAGAACCAGGACCCCTGGGTCCCCTCC